ACATTAAGCTTCTGCTCCTCCTTTCAACTCTTGTGTTCTACTGCTTCTCCTCCCTCTTCCTCTTCTTTCCTCTTACCTTTCTTCTTATTTTCGATCCTGAAATCCTATTAGGGTTCAAGACTGATAACAGTCCTGAACTTCTACTACATCATTATGCATGAAAGGGAGGAAAGAGGGCAAGACAGATGATATTGCTTTCCAAGGTGGAGATAGTGTTGTTCGCGCATGTACTTCTGCATCCCAATTGTTATCCAGTAGACAATGGATGCTTTTGATGGCCAAGTGCCATAGTTTTCTGAATCTAAGGGGAGTCTTCAAAGCCATTTGCCTAAGAAGATTTTTTGAGACTAACTTTCTGGATTGGTTTTGCATTTATGCTTTTAATAATTGGATGTGCCTAATCTGAATATGCCTGACTACAGCCTTAAGTGCTAGAACATCTTATCTATAAAAGCTGGCTACAGGTTTGATAGCTGTTGAGTTTGTGGGCTGTTTGTACAGCGATTATGTTTATGGACTAGGTCAGTTGGGCTTTATGTTTCTGAACATTCTTTTTTATTTATTTTGTTTTGTTATTGGGCCTTTAGTCTTAATGGGCCTCAGTCATGCCATGTTTTAGTAGTTCTTATTCTGTTTGGGACCACACCTAATTAGGTGGCAGTGTTTTGGTCAAATTATTGTAATTGATAGTGGCTGGACAGTTTTTTTTTTTTTTTTTGACTCCCATTCAATTTCTTCCATCTTTCTTCTCTTTCTTCTATTTCTTCTCTTTCTTCTTATTCCTTCTTTCTACAGGTTCAAACACCTATTTTCTGTTGATTTATTGATTCTCACTTAATTTTAATCTGCAACTTGGTGTTAGAGCTTTTTGTTTATTTTTATTTTTAAATATTTTTTTGAGAGTTCTCATGTAGCCTTAGGATCGGGCAGCTGCATCAGAGTATAGAAGGGTTGATTGGCTATGCTTTGCTGGCCTGATTCTTGGAGCTTTTGAGGGTTTTCTATTGCCCGTGCTGTGATATTGGAGATTTGCTTTGAAAATATGAAGAATTAGAGAGGAAAAGGGGATTGATCTATTTCTTTTTTCAACTCGTAGAAGGATTAGTTCTATCTGGTGCTATTGGGAAGCCTTGTTTAGGGCTGGGTTGGAGATTGATCTTAGTAGGTAGGGCTGTTGGACTATTGTCAACTTAAGGATGTGACTTTGGTAGGGGCTTATTACCTGGTATGCAATAAGGGGAGTAGGAGTGTGATGATGAGATCCCATGGTATGTGAACATTGTAAGAAGGATGACAAGAAAAGACTTGGTATGTGAACATTGGAAGAAAATAAAGCATACAAAAGATACTTGTTAGAAACTTCATCCTCATTTGATTCTAGTTCGTCTCAAAAATAAGAATGAGAGTGGTAGCGTAGTTGTTGTAGATGAATACTATTAATACTTTTGGAAATTGGAACACTTCCTTTGTCAGTCATCCTTGGAGACTCTTGAAGCAACTAAAGCAGAGGTTGAGAGATATAGCAGATACATTAATTAGTTGGAGGAGCCACTACCCTTTCGTATACAAGTACTAGAGTCATTACAAATCATGTCTATATGAAAGGTAATGGAAGTAATTCCTGGATGGTTGACTTAGGGTCGTCTTATCATATGATCATTATCTCATAATTTTTCTCATCTCATAGTCTTTTCTCTAGAAGGGACAAAGTGTCTATAGTTGATGGCTCCCTCTCTCCCAACATTGGTAAAGGGAATCTTAGATTATTAGATGGTATTATTCTATCCTCTACCATTCATGTTCCTTTTTGAAAAGAGACCCTTCATGGTCCTAAACTAAGTAGTGACCTTTTTGTTAATAGTTTAACGAAGAATTTGAATTGTTCACTGACCTTTTTTCTTGATTGATGTATTTCTTAGGATTTGGTATCCAAGAGGACGATTGGGAGTGGCCATAAGATGAATGAAATCGTCCTTCTCAATGTTGGAGTTTTTTTACAAGGTCATCATGATGATAGTAGTAGTTGGAGTCATAGTATGCGATCATGTTATGGCATAAGTGTATGGGTCATTTGTCTTTTACTTATTTGTAATTGTTGTTTCCTCAGTTGTTTAAGTAAGTCCAAGCATCAAGTTTGGAATGTGTTGCATGCTAGTTAGCAAGATGTTGTAGAAGTTCATTTATCCTAGTAATAAAAGAAGCAATTCTTTTTTTTTTTTTTGATTTTGTGCATATGTATGTGCGGAGACCTTACTCTATTCATTCTATGGTTGGTTACAAGTATTTTATATTATTTATTGATGATTATTCTCATTTCTCTTGAGTATACTTGATGCGTTCCCTTGATGAGGTGTTAAATTGATTTGCTAGTTTTTTTAGTTGATCCTTGGTTTGGGATGAAGATTAAGATTTTTAGATCTAATAATGCTAAGTAATACTTTGAGAAAACCCTAGCCTCTTATTGGAGCATGGTGTGGTTCATTAAAGCAGTTGCGTACATACTCCTCAACAAAATGGAGTAGTTGAAAGAAAAAAAAAAACCAACATTTACTAGAAGTAGCTAGAAATTTTCTGATTGCTAGTAATGTTCAACAAAGTTTTGTAGGGATGCTATATTGACTCCTATTTACTTGGCTAACAAGATGCTTTCTCAGGTTTTGGGATCTAAAGCTCCTTTTAGCCTCATATATCCAAATGATGACATGTTTCATGTTCCCTTGAAGGTATTTGGGTGTATTTGCTATCTTCATATACTTGGATTCTATAGAGCCAAATTTAATGCAAAGTTAAAAAGGTGTATTTTTTTTGGACATGCACAAAGTTAGAAGGGATAAATGCTGTTATGGTCCTACTACTAGAGATTGGTTTCTGTCCATTGATGTTACTTTTTTTTTTTTTTTTAAGATTACTTATCTTTCTCGTACTTCTACTTAGGGGGGTTTGTGTCCATTACTGCTGAACCTCCTATTCCCATTATTGATGATCTCAAGTTCTCAACCTATCAATTGCTCTTTACAAGGGTAAGCATTGTACATCTATTGCTCATTTTATCTCTCAGTACTTGTCTTACCATTTACCTTCTCCCAAGTACTGGTCTTTCCTTGCATCTATTTCCTTTGTCTCTGCTCCCAGAAATGTCCACAAAGCACTTTTAAAACCTGAGTGGAGGGATGCTATGCAGGTGGAGATGATGAATACTTTTTTAAAAAACCAAACTTAGGGGATTGTAGCCTTTCCAAAAGGGAAGACTCTTGTGGGATGCTAGTGGGTGTTTATAGTTAAATACAAGGCTAATGGTATTATTGAGAGGTACAAGGCAAGGTTGGTTGCAAATGGATATACCTAGGTGTATGGAATAGATTACCTAGGGACATTCTCTCTATTAGCAAAGATGAATGCTGTTAGTTCTACTCTCGTTAGTGGCCTCATACTCTTGGACATTGTTCAAACTTGATGTAAAGAACACTTTTGAATGGTGGCTTCTAGGAAGGAGTTTATATCAACTCTTCCTCCTGGTTTCTTTGATTATGACAAAAGTAGCAAGGTGTGTAGGTTGAAGAAATCATTATATGGACTGAATCAGTTGGCAAGGGTTTGGTTTGACAGGTTTAGGGGTGCAATGTCAAAGTTTGACTGGTCATAGGTTAGTTTGACCATTTTTTAGAAGCAAGACAAGCTCTGCTGATTCCATTTTTCAGAAAATTGTGTGGGGAAGATGTTTTCCTGGTTGTCTGGTCACAGGCGTTTAGGGGTGTGGGTTTTGAATCCTTTTCTGTACATGATAAGCTTTTTGTAAAGCAGGGTGGGGATCAAGTTTAGAGGGAACAATTTTTCTTGTTTCCTAAGTGCATCATCTTGCTGTACGTTTTTCGTTTATATTTAGTACAATGATACTTTACCTTTTCTTTAAAAAAATGTTAAAGTTTGACTGCTCACAGTCCTAGTTTGACCATGCACTTTTCATTAGGAGAAAAGGTGTGTGAGACCATGCAATTAGTCATCACATATCGCCAACAGTGCGATAGGACAATGGCACAACAACACAAATGCAATCAATTGCAAATTGTAGATTAAGATGCGATGAGAATTACACACATCACTTCAAATTATCACATTAAACCCCTTGATGGAACACTCACCTAGCACGTCCATCACATATGCATGAATTGACATTTAATTCCATGGCACTCAACCCTCACCACACTCCCATTAAGGACTTAGGAAGGGTTGTAACAACTCACATTCTCACATGCACATGTTGGGAAGGGGGGGGGGCAAGTACTGAGGTAATTGCATGGACACGTGGTGAAACCCCAATTGGTCTAGATGGTGTGAATTGAACAACTTTGTAACAAACTCAAAAAGAAATTTCCAGAAAGAGAAAGCCTCCTCAAAAATCTATAAACAGGGATCCCCCGAGGGGATCCACACCTTTTGCCTCCCGAGTCTTCATGAGGCCCTATGAGTGCTTTCTTCAACTTCCAGAGACTCCCTCCCCGCAAGACCATAGATTTAAGATATGAAATTTTCTCTGTTACTTCTCTCAGCCTTCCCTGACCTCCCTTACAGTGCTATCTGCTGTCTTTCAGGCAGACCACTATAGTGCCAAATTCCACCCATTTGTTAATTGCTTCGATTGTTTATGTTGATGACATTGTGGTGACTAGAAATGAGCAGCCGATATTGATCATTTGAAGGAGTTCCTATGAAAGGAGTTTGAGATAACAGATTTGGGAAGTTTGTGCTACTTAATATGAATCGAGTGTCGAAGCATGGCATCTTTATTTCCCAGCGGAAATATGTTTTAGATTTAGCAAAAGAGACATGAAAGTTGGGGGTTTAACCTATTGACACTCTAATTGGGCTAGTTCATTAGATGATATGACATAGGAGGTCGACTTCTGGTTTCTATACCTTTGATGACATTATGTCTTGGAAAGTAGTAGTTAATGGTGGTGCGGTCCAGTGCAGTAGAGTTTAGAGCTCATGGTGTTTCTGAGCTGCCTTGGATACATTCATTACTTGGACAATATGGCAGAAAGGTAGAAGAGCTGTTAAGACTTTATTGTGACAACCAAGCCGCCTTTAACACTGATAAAAAAAATCAAGCCGCCTTTAACATAGCCCATAATCTACTACAACATGATCGGACTAAGCACATAGAAGTGAATAGACATTTTATTAGGGAGAAAGTTGCATTTATATTGTCTCTCATTTACAGCTTGCTGATGTGTTTATGAAGGGAGTTGCAAAGAACAAGTTGGAGAATGATGTAAGCAAKTTGGGTATGATTAACATCTACACCCAACATGAGGGGGAGTGTTTGGGCCTTTAGTCTAAATGGGCCTGAGTCATGCTATGTTTTATTAGTTCTTATTCTGTTTGGGGCCACACCTAATTAGGGCGGTAGGGGTGTTTCGGTCAAACTATTTGTAGCTGATGGCAATTATATAATAAAATGTTTGGGGTGGCTGAACAGTTTTTTGCCTCCCATTCAATTTCTCTCATCTTTCTTCTATTTTTTCTCCTTCCTATAGGTTCTAACATCTATTTTCTGCTATTTAATTGATTCTCGCTGAAGCTTACAATATACAACTAGTCAAAGAAAAAAAATATATTGAAAGGCAAAAGAGAATGCAAGGGTTGGTGATTAAAAGCCACAGAAGAAAAATAGAGTGCCAAAACAACAAGCATCTCCACTCTTCAAATCTCCTCATTAAACAAACCCCATGAAGTATTGCCTATCAAACCACCTCAAGGAAATGATCCACCGCCTAATAAGAACAAAATGTCTCTGTGAACAACTGATAGCATAAAAGGTTCAAATAAACAAAACAACTCAAACTGCATTAACCATAATTCTCCCTCTTACACAAGAGGCAATGTAATCCTAACCACTTGACTAGCTTCTAACACCAACTCAAACAACCAACCAAAATTCCTTTCCTCCATAATGCCCCACATCCTGTATTTCTAATCCCTGTTATTTGGATATGGTTTTACCATAAGATTGCAGTGATGTATTTCTAATTCCTGCATCCTGTATTTCTAAGGGGAATAACAAAAGCTTTTCAATGTGTCCCAAGGGAGACACATGGGCTAGTAGATTCATTAACTAGGCAAGGGGTTGATAGGGATTGGGAAATTGCATCTGAAAAGTAGATAAATTGCTTATGAACAAGCAAGAGTGAATTGCATGTGGGTTAAGTTTTAAGTTCATTAATTTTTGAGAATAGGTAAAGTATCGTATTACACTTCAACTATCAACACGTTTCATGCAGTGAGAAGCTATATATGTAAAATAACACGTTTCGGCTAGACAAACATGTGATTCAAAATCACTCTGGTGGAGTATATTAATTTTCAATTTTTTTTTTTTATATCCATACATATACTTAATTTCTTCAAATATCATTCTACTTATTTCTATCCAATCTGACAAAAACTTTTTGCTTATATGTTTATTTACTTCCATTGTTTCATATTTATGTTTTTCATTGTGTTTTCCCCCAAACAAATTAAAATGTAACAACCTAAACATCCTCTGTTACAATATCAGGAATAATCAAACAAAGTTGAGCCAAAGGGGACTCTTTCAACATCCTTTGTTGAACCATCAATGGAAACAAGAAATCCAGTTATAATATTCTATCATCCTTATTATTTTCTTTAAAAAATCTTTCTGTCCCTCTCTTGTTTTGCCAAAGGTTTATTGCTGATCTGCTTATTCACTTCCATTTGTTTCCTATTTCTGTTTCTCAGTATGTCTTCCCTGGTTGGTTTGTTATGTTTTTTGATTTTGAAATTGTTTCTTAATTTGTTCCCGTTTTGCACAACTATGCAGATCACCATGGATGTGAATCATCGATTACCTTTTAAAGTTGGCCAACTGGCTGAGTCAAAGTCTTTTATTAAAGGTTTTCGTGGTGCGTGGTTTAGATGTAAGGTAGTTTTCCAAGATCTGAGGACTATTGTAGATTTAATTTTCTTGTAATTGTGGTTGATGCACWTGTGCCATATTTCAAACTGGCCAGTGGTTGATGCAAATTTAAAATATGCTAAAACTTTTGGCTGTTATTAATGTAATCATTTTGCTTTCTTTTGGGTATATAATGTAAATGGGTCTAAAACTGGGGCCAAAGCATGCTAAAATTCATATTTTTGCATATGTTGTTTCGATATGATAATATTGCAAGTCCTTTTTTCTTCTAAAAGAGGAAAAGTTCTGTAAGAAATTTCTGAGTTGGTTTCAGTCATGTTTGTGCCCCATCCCAACATCAAAATGTTCACTTCTATACTAGGACCTTTGTCAAAGTTGAGCCTACCACTTTTTATTTTTTCTGAGATAACCTAAAAATACATTTCCACCCACATAGTTCCACTGAGGAGGTCAATACCACATGAGCCTTTTATATGTGACCATCTTAATGTTTACAACATATATCACCTGGTTTCAGTTTGAAACTTGTCTAACAAAATGTGATGATATTTGTTCATACAATCTTGGGACAAATGCAGTGGTGTTATTTCAACTTAACAATGCCTTTTGCCAACTCTTTGGGGTTGGCTAACAAACCCTGTCTTGCTATCCCTCAATCAAAGCTATTTCTTTTGTTAAAAACAAGAAGCATGATCTTGAGACGACAATTTAGGATACTGTTTATATATATCTAAATGTATAAATACTTTTAGGATTTGTTTTTGGACATATATGAAAATTCATGGATCTATATATTGTTTTTGGATGCCACACTTACTCATCTATCTTATATTCTTTAGACAGTGCCCATGTTCATGCATTATTTTATTTCCTTTTTGAGGTTTCAATGATTTCATTATTTATAGTTTGAATTTTCGTCTTTCTTTCCATTTTTTGTCCTATTTTAAGTTTGTTTCTTTGCTTTTTAACTTGAGAGGTAAAAAACCAATTATGAGCTTTGTTAACCTCAGTTTCTTTTCTGGTTTTCATCAGATAAAGGAAATCGGCACAAGGAAAAGGCAGACTGGGTATATGCTGGAATTTTATGACTATCCAGATGATAGTAAGTAGTTCTACTCATTTTTTATTCATGATATCCATACACATTTATGATATGTTTTCTCTAGGTTATCTGCTTAGAAAATTTCTATTTTCTTCTAGGTGGTATCCATCCTTATGTTATAAAAATTTTGTTTCCTCTTACTGGGACTTTATATTTTAGATATAGGAAGGATATATTTTTACATTAAAAAACTCTAATTTCTCTAAATGTTCTTTATTTTTTTTTCTAATTTGATGAAATTATTGTCTGTACTTGGACTGTCGGAAATTAGGAATTAGGTAGTAGGAATCATGAGTTTCTAATTTTCTGAATTGTATGGAAAATCAGTCTGTCACTGTGCTAATTTGCTAAAAGTAGGGGATACTAATCATGGCTTATTCAATATTATTCACAAATCCAGACATTCAAGACGATGGATTTTTCAGTTGAAAGTTGTGTCTAGATCTAGGGCTCGTTTGGCGTGTCTTTCCGAGCGGTATTTCGGCTGTTTACAAGCCGTGCAAACTGATTTTCGGTCTATTCCTGTTTGGTTCGCAGAAGGTCTAGCCGCCAAAAGCCGGAGCGCTGAAAAGACGTGAGAAGCCCATTTTGGGCTGATTTCCAGAAGCTCCAAATGAAGTTTTTCGCATCTTTTGCACTTTATTCTCATGCGGAAAGACACACAGAAAGACATGTATCTGTCAAACTAGCTTCAGGCTGCTCAGATCTTCATGCAAAAGCTCAATGCGTCTTTTGACTTTGAGAGCTACCAGAAGATCTTCCCAAAAAGACTTGCCAAATGGGCCCCTATTTTCTTAGCTGGCATGTTTTCAATGGTGCAATCATAATCAGATTTACACTCTGCTGTAACTTCTGTTGGAACTGATATCCAAGATCTGAACTGCTTAATTGTTCAAGATCTTTAAGATTTCTGGATTTAGATTGCTCCAATCACCAAGAATGAATGTCAGTACAAGGTTTGAGTAGCCAACCAGATGAAAGAGAGAGATTCTGGTGAAATGTCAGAGAAACGGCAATGATGTATGGGAAAGGTGGAATTCTTAGGAGTTCTGGATTTAGAAAATGCTGGTGGGCTGGCTGAAGGTAGAGGCAGCTGGCTTTTGGCATTACAGCAATGAAAAAGGAAATTTAAATGGCTGACTAGGGATATTGAAGTCAAGCTGAATTTGGTCAAAAGAAGTGCAAATTCCTTTGCGGATGGGTTAGCTAGGCAAGGGGTAAATGGGGATGCTTTATTTAGGTCTCTTGTGTAATTTGTTTTGTTTTTCATTTGGTGGGGTGTTAAGAGAGTTTATCTCCCCCCATCTTGTTGTAGCTCTTCTTATGTTTTAATGAAAGCTATTCTGTTATTGATAAAAAAATGCTTGGGGATGTTTCTAGGGTAGGTAAAGTGTCCCTGTGGATGGTTTGTGATTGTATAATCAATTCTTAACTATTTGAKCACTTCAGTATCAACCATATGGCTGCTCTCACAAGTTTACCCGTTTAGGTTAGTCTTATGCCCTAAATTAGGAGAAATGGCTATTTTGGGTTGTTGCATGAGTTTCATATGAATGTTATGAACCTATAGTGTAGGGTGATGTATTCTAGGGATAAATAATCTCTCTCTCTCTCTCTCTCCACTTAAGATCAACATTAAGTGTCAAAGTGAAACATGAATAAATTTGAAAATATGAAATTTGGGATCAATATTGATTTTTGTGATGGGGAGAATAGAGTTGGGGTTGAAAATTTGAAATTAGTGGCGAGCCTTTTTGAAAGAATGTTTAATTTAGAAGTCAATAGGAACAAGAGCATGGTAGTTGGTATAAATTTGGAAGTAGAGGAATTGACCTTTATAGGTGAGACTTTGGGTGCAAGAGAGGCTATTGGCTGTTAAAATATTTTGGACTACCTGTAGGGGGTAACCCGAGATCGACTAGTTTTTTGAATTTGGTGGTAGAGAGAATAGAGATAAGACAGGCAGGGTGGAAAAGGAACTATATCTCTTTGGCTGGGAGGATTACTTTGCTAAGATCTACGCTGGCTAACCTCATTGTTTATTTTATGTTTGTCTTTAGGATGCCTCAAGTAGTTGTTAAAAGAGTGGAGAAATTGATGAGGGATTTTCTTTGGGAGCTAAGAGATAGGAAAAAGGATCATTTGGTGAGATGGGAGGTGGTTAAAAGGAAGGAGGGTAGTTTGGGTTTAGGAAACACCAGCTTGAAAAACTTGGTTCTATTAGGCAAGTGGCTGTGGCATTTCCCCTAGGAGAATGGAAGGTTGTGGCATAAAGTGGTATCAAGTATTTGGGCTCTCAAGGAATGGTTGGGATGCTAGTATTCTACACAGAGCTAATCTTGCTACACCATGAAAAGTAGTACATGGTATTCTCCCTTAGTTTTTGGGGCAGGGGAGCTTCCTATGAAAGATGTGTTTCCCTCTTTGTTGCTCTCTCAAGCTTTAAAGAAAAACATGTGTCTGACTTCATTGGATCTCTCTCTCTCTCTCTCTCTCTTACTAGGTTGAGCTGGAACTTGGGGTTGGTAAGGAATCTTAGAGAGTCTGAGATGACTTTAGTCTCTTGCCTGTATGATAATTTGGATAACTTAGTCTTTGATGCATCTATTAGTGATAGTTGGGTTTGGTTTCTCAATCCTTCTGGGTTGTTTACTTGTAGATCGTTTTTTTCCTCTCTTGTGGCTTCTTCTTCTCTTTCCTTTTCTGTGAAAGAAGTTTGGAGTGTCCCTATCCCCTCCAAGACATCAATGCTTTTTGTTGGGAAGTTTACCATGGTTGCACCAATACATGTGACTTTCTGCAAAAGAAAAGACCAAATTGGTGCTTATCTCCTGATTGGTGCTTATTGTGTAAATTGAATGGTGAGAATGCTTACTACCTCTTAATCCCTTGCTCCTTTGTTCACTGTATTTGGGAATGGTTTTGCTCTCTTTTTGGTTGCAAGCGGATCCCTCTTGTTAGTTAGGGCGACAATTAAATTGAGCTCTACTCAAATAGTTTGGGCTTGAGTTTGTTTAGGCTTGGTTTGAGTTCGATTCTAATTGGGTTCGAATCTCAAGGAAAGCTTGATTAGTTATTCAAACTTGAGAATTGAGATCAACTAATAAAAAGTTCTGCTCAAATGCTCCAAAGTCATTGCATGAGGTGGTACAAGACTCTCGTCAGGTGTATCCGGCAAGTATATTCCATTCTCTTCATGGCCACGCCCAAGTATACATACTCGATTAGTCAATTTATAAGATGTTGGTTTCATTGCATGGATGTAACTTATTTACCTATCTTAACACCAAAATCATGCAAAATAGACAAATATTGATCCTTGAAAAATAGGCTGGAAAAAYATTTATCAAGAAAAATAGGATGGAAGAAAAGTGAGTAACCTACAATTTCAATGAAAGATTTTTTTCTTAGGCATCCAACATATTAAGACAACTGGAAAACATCTTTTATAACACTATTCTAACCTATTGACACTTTAAGAAGCAAAAACAAATGTTTGGATCTAGAGAAGTCAATCCAATTAATAAAACAGACAGAAACTATAAAACTGACTGAAAACCAAAGAAAAGGAGATTTGAAATGTCCCTCACATGAGTGAGTTTTTATCTACTGGTTGCATCATCCTACATGTCTAGGCATGTCCTAGGAGTGGCTGAGGTAGATGGCCTTGTCAGAGGCTGTGGATCCCTCTTCTTGTTTTTGCCAAAATTTCTCTAACCTCTTATGAGAAAGGAATCAAGCTAAAAGACTTTTTCAGGCTACCAGTGAAAAAGAGTGAACTATAAAACCTCCCCTGGGTTTTCCGACAATCATATAAACCTTCCCTGGGTTTTCATACTAACAAAAGCCTCCCCTATGTTTTAAAAAAAGGTATAAATCTGCAAATACCTCCCTTCCGTTAGTTTTCCAGTTGGAAAGTGTTGATGTTTTTTTTTTTTTGATAAATGAGAGGAGTTTTATTAATTCAGATAAGAGAATACAATCAGCCTAGGAAGTGGCACGAGATGTTACCTCCTCCGAGGACTGAATCATATACACTAAACAAGCCCAAGCCTGAAACACAAATTACAAAGTAGCCAAAAACAGATCTCCCCTTGACACCCCTTGTTTGGCTAGAGAATCAGCCATTGCATTTGCTGATCTGCTGACCCACTGAAATCTGACAGTCATATTTCTTGTCATCCATTTAACTTTCTTTAACATACCCCTATAGCCCTAGCAAACTGTATATGAGCTATTCAGCCAGCCCACTACTACTTTGGAATCCCCTTCTACTAACAAATTGTTCACTCCAATTTGACTAGCCATCTGTATACCTTATATTGTTGCTATTAGCTCTGCCCTTATAGAATCGCCTTCACCAACTGGTCCTGAAAAAAGAGACAACATATTGCTGTCTTTGTCTCTCAGAATCCCACCAATTCTGGATGGCCCTGGGTTACCTTGGCAGCTGCCATCAAAATTCAATTTTACCACTCCATCCGGTGGGGGTTTCCATTCCACTTATGATTTGTTCTTAGTGGATAATGTAGAAGCCACTGCTTCCCAGTTTCTCCTTAAGTCATCAAAGGAGAAGTCAGCCAACAAATGTGAAGATTTCAACCCTGAGATTGCCCTTGTCAATATGCATTCCTTGCTTTCAGCAAGACTTCTTTCTTCTTCTTGAAATATTCTAGCATTTCTCTCTTCCCATAAAATCCACAAAGCAGCGGCTCTGATACATTTCCACATTAGCTTCCCTCTTTTTGTCAATCTCCCAAGAGCAGCTGGAGTGAACAACTTACTTCAGAGGGCAAGTTCCACCTGCACCCAAATAATGTAGCAACCCAGTTCCAAATATTGGCAGCAAATGAGCACGATATCAGCAAATGGTTATAGCCCTCACCCTTCACTTACACATAAATCACCAATTTGGGGACAAACACATAAAAGGTTTCTTCTTTTGCAAGTTTTCCACAGTATTGATCTTACCATAATAGGCTTCCCAACAGAACACTGCT